AAGAATGTCGGCTTGTAACAGTAACTCTCAAATTTCAAACTACCGTTGCTAGCATTTCAAGCATCATTTTGGGCGGAGGGGGCAAAGAACTGAAATTCTGCCACACTGATTCCGGCCTCGAAGGGCAGGATCCTCCGCCGCCCGGCACTGGTAGCGGGACGCGCTTTAACGCCTGTTTCGGGAATGACGCCGCATTTCACGCGCGTCCCGCAGCAGACGCGCCTCGGACTGGAGGTGCGGGTCTTACAGGGGCAGAACGGGTGCCGGAGGGCTGAGGGCAGCCCGTGGAGGGATGGGGGAAGTGCTTACCTTCCAGGATGCTCTTGGCCAAGAGGCTGGGCGTTCTGACGTGCCTCTGGTAGACAGCTTTGCGCTCCAGGCTCGCCTGCTTCCCCGTCAGCCCCTTCTTGTCCTAGGAGAGCGATCAGGCGGCGCCGTCAGAGCAGGACCGCCCGTCCCGTCTCGTCCCGTCCAGTCCCGTCCCATCCCGTCCCGTGCCCCCTCACCTCGGTGGCCTGCTGCCGTCGGAGCGCCACCTGGGCGGCCATGACGCGCTGCCGCTCCACCACCAGCAGGCAGTTGGCGCACTGGCAGTCGCGCCACCGGCAGAAACGTTTGTGTCCCTTCAGGCACGACACCACGCCGTGGTTGCGGCACCGGGCGCATTTGGGCGTGCGGCTCAGCTTCCGAGGCTCGCCCCGCCGCGGAGCCGCCGCAGCCTCCTCGCCTTCCTCCTCTTCCTCTTCCTCCTCCAGGCCGGTGCTGCTGCGCGGCGCGCCCGGTGGCTCGCCCGGCTCCCCCTCCAGGCTCTCCACGTCGATCTCCCAGTCGGCGGCGGCGCGTCCTTCAGCCATGGCTCTTCAGCGGCACAGCTGCAAGAGAGGGGTCAGGCCTCCCGCCCCCGCGGTCGAACGGCAGCCAGGGCACACTCGGCTTCCGAGGTGCCCGCTGGCAGCCCCGCCGAGATGCGCCCCCGTCGCGAAGTCACAGCAAAGCCTGCTTGGAATATCATCTTCCCCCTTACTGCCTGCTTGAGTCTCTTGCCCGTGTCCCACAGAAGACTCGGTTTAGTCACGACGGACGCCTTCCCCCGCGCCCGCCCCAGCTCGCCGGGGAACTACACTCGCCCGCCGCAGGCAGGAGCTCGTCTCCAGCGGCGGAGGATGCGGGAGGCACGGCCCCAGGGCAATGTCCAGCGCCACAGGGCTGAGAGTATGTCAGGTCTTGACAGGGGCCTGCTTAAAACAGGACACTGACAACCCTCCTGCCAGCTGCGTTCAGACTTGGGAGACAGGTAGAGGACAGGTGGGCTTGACACCACGCCGCTGTCCGCTCCGGTACACAGGGGCAGTGTGGGCTCCTGGAGCTCTCTGTGGAAGCTGCGCCCTCGGACCCCCACCTTCTCCCACACGACCTCCCCGTCCCTCCTCCTGCCCACTGCACTTACCGAAGGCAGGTGGTGCAGGCAGCACGCAGCCCCCCCGCTTCCGCAGTTCGCTAGGTGCCGCTGGCTAAGACCGCCCGGAGGCACGGGACTCCCGATCCGCGCACCTGGGGACTGCCAGGCTCCCCGACAGCCGTCAGGGGATAGCTATGTCGCGGTGCGGCGGGTCTGTGCCGTGCCCGGCTGTGGGTGCGCGCCCTCCGCCTCCGGGCCCGGGACGGCACTGGCACCGACGCGGCCCCCGCCCGCCCCGAGGAGCAGCGCCCGCCGCCGCCGCCCCGCCGCGTTATCAGCGCCCGCCGCCGCCGCCCGCGCCGCCCATTGGCCGCCCGCCTCGCGGCCGCCGTTCCCATTGGCCTGCGCCGCCGAGGCCCCGCCCCCTCGCGCGCGAGCCGGCCGCCCGCTCGTGGGTGCGGGCGCGCGGAGGGCGCGGGGGCGGCCGCGCCGGGTGGGAAACGGGGGTGGAGGGTGGGCTTTCGTTTTGGGGAGAAAAAGGAGTGGGAAGGGCAAGGAAGGGAGAAAAGACTGTAAAGTGTTCGATTGTGAGAGCTAAGAAACCCGCGCCACGGGCGAGCAGTGCCCCCCTAAGCGGGGAGCGGGCCGGGGGCGCGGGTTTGAAAGCTTGAAGCAGCCACCGCGTTTTTCGTTTGCGGTCGTTCGCGTTGCTTGCCCCGCGGGTGGAAGGTACTCGTGGCAACGGCTTTTTTTCCGAGTGTGAAAATGCAATGAAATCCTTCTCTTTGGGGCATTAAGGCGAGGAAAAATTTTCGTTTATTTTTTAGCATCCCCTCTCCTCAGTGGCGTTTTCCACCGACCACTAAGTTTCAACCCGCCGCTTCCTGATAGACGCTGCTCTTCGGAAACTGAGTAATGTCCCTTGTCTCCCCAGTCAGGGAGCGATCGAAATTGTGACCCACAAAGTCTCAGTCGTGCCACCGTGCTGGAGCTCCGTGCTTCCGTAGCTGAAAATAGGAATTCCAAATGGGCAGAAGTGGACAAAATACACCTCGGCCGCGTTCAGCGCCGGGCAGGGGAAAGCTGGTGAATTTAAACGGAGTATGCCCAGAAAATCCAAAAAATACAGGCATGCCAGAGAGTATCCATTTCCCACCAGTGCATGCTGATCGAAAACTAACGATATGCAGAACATACGGCCAAAACTAAATTCCGAAAAGGGAAAATATTTTGTTATTTCCCTGAGACTCGCGTGTGTATAATAAATACTGATAATATTCATGTATATAATAAACACGGGCATCCACTCACGGTAAGCACATGGACCAGCTGCCGGCCACCGGTTCGGCATGGAAAATCCCTGCTCTTGCAGCCCTTCGGGACAGAGGCCAGCGGGCGAGTGGCTCAGGCGGCGCCGTGAGGGTTCGCCGCCCGCTCGCGGCCCGGAGCTCACAGCTCCACCACAGCCCGGACACGGCACCAGCCCTTCCTTTAGCCCCGCGGGCTACGGGCACCTGCGAGGAGGGAAGGAGAGTTTGTCCTCAAGGACAGTTTTTCCTTCTCGGGACCGCACCGTCGGGAGAGCGGGGAGAAAGAAAAGCATCCTCCGACGGCAGGTATTATTCATCCCAAAGGAGAGCCTGGCTACTGTTTGACTTACAAGCATGACTAAAAGGCAAATACCCAAGGAATTCCACTTTCTCCCTTGGGGTCCCTCTTAAAAGGTACAAGCATGACAAAGGACCTGCTAGGTTAGGAAACAGAAGTCTCCTTTGTCTGTAAACCGACACCAAATTACAAAGTACAATTCTGCCGGCCGCTGGAGTAAATTACAAAACAGTTCGCCTCCTGTTTACTTTATCCACAGGGAGCTGCGAAACTCAGCCATGATTTTAAAGCGTGTTTGTATAACTTTCTTCTGCTCCTGTTGTTTGCGCTCGGCTTCTCAGCGCATTTGCGCTCCCCTCTCGCCACTCCCTGCTCTCCCGCCGGGAAGGAGAGGTGCTTCTGCCGTTGTCCGGCGGCACGCACCCGTGGAATGAGAAGCAGGAGAGCTGCTCCCACTCTTGGGCCTCAAGGACCTCTGCTCCCACTCAGTCCTCCGCTTTGGTCCGCGGTGTCAGCCGTGCCCGCTGTGAGCCGACATGGGCAGAGGCACCGCCGCGCTCGGAAAGGCGCTGATTTCCTTGAGAGGGGAGGCACTGAAGCCTGCGATGTGAAGCTGTGCATCCACCTGCCCCGCACAGCGCTCCCCGCTCAGCGCCCCGTAGCCGCGTCAGCCCCGGTGCCTGTGGGGCCCGGGGCCGAGACCCGAGGGCAGGGCTGCTGATATGCTCCGGGACTCCTTCAGAGCCTCCACCGCGCCCCCTCGCCTTGCCTCCCCCCCGGCCCGTGCGTTGCCGTGGGAGTCCCCCCGGGAGCCGCACTGCCCGAGGTGAGATGGAGGAGGTGTGATGCTGCCACCGGCAGCCTCGCTGCCCAAGGCGGGGTGGAGGTGTGGAAACACCGATGGGGGCCGGGGATGGGTCCTCAGGCCGGGCAGGTAGCGGCGGGGGCTGTGCCATTTGTAGCAGCGCCCTGTCCCTCGGGGTGGAGGAGCAGCCCCGGGACACTACAAAGGCTGCACTCTCGCCTTCCCCAGGCGCTGGGCCCTGCTTTGCATCATGGCTCTGCCGTCCGGGCAGGTGCAGGTGCAGCTGCAAGTGCCACAATCCCGCCTCCCCAGCCCTCCCTTCCTCACGGGAAATTTATTAGCGAGGTTAGGGCAGGCTAACCAAACGGCAACCCCGGGTGCAATTTCCTCGGAGGAATGCTTTGATCCTGCCCTCTCCTTGCGCCGTCGAGGGCAGATTGCAATGACAAACGCGGGAGATCGCCGCCAATTGTTAGGTCAGAGATGTTACCGTTTAATCTGAAACAAATTGCTCCTGCCTGCGCCCCTCCCGCCGCCCTCTCTTTCCCCGCCCCTGTGGTCCGGATGCCCGACCAGGGATCCCACCGGCGGGGCCGGGGCCCCATAACGGAGGGATCCAGCCCAGCATCGGGCCCGGACAGAAGGGGTTTCCTCTGCAAAACATAAAGCTACTGTATATTTGCTCCAGCGAAGACGTTGAGATTTTCGTGGAGGAAAAGGGAATTTAAAAAAAAAAATTTAAAAAAAAAAAAAAAAATCACCTTTTCCGGTATTACCCAATCAGTACAAACCATGATTTCCTTTGCAGTTTACTTCCATAAAAATGTGGATTTTTTTCTTCTACATTCATCTCCCTCTGTCTCTTGTAAAGCAAAACTGAATACGATTTTTATCCGTGGCATGGGCCTTTCTGAACTGATAGTACCACAGAATGTTTTAAAACAAGTAAGTCTGGGTTGTTGGGGGTGGGAAAGGAGTATATTCTGTTTTAAACAAGCATTTAATTTTTTACTTTTTAAATACATTGCTGCCTAACATATTTGTAGGTATGGAGTCAGAGATTTTTCTATTTCTATATTCTATGTGCCAGTCACATAAATATAATAAATACATATTATAAGGATGTAAGAAATGTTGAGGTAATGTGTTCGCTACAGTGTAACATAGAAGAAAATTTTACTGAATGTGACAATGATACCACTGCCTTTTTAAGAATGTTTGCTTTGTCAAGGAGGGCAAGGGTTAGCCTCTTTATAGAAAGACTTGCTTATTGTATCAGGATAATCTTCAGTCATACAAAACTGGAATGATATCAAAGCGGTAATGGTGAACAGGTGAGACTTGTCACTTCAGACACAGTGAAAGTCTGACAGGAAGTCCAGAGTCATCAACAAAATGTTTCCCATGGACATAGACAATTTTGGATTGAGCACAGGGTTCAGCAGATTTTTCCATTTACAATCCTTTTCACCCTGGCAGTCGAAGGGATGAACTCCCACAGAGGAGGGAGGAATGGACTCTAAAGGAAGGACAGGTTTGCCTTCTGCAGCTGAAGGCTCTGCCTGCTCATCGGGGATGTAGCAAGGGGGCACAATCTGGCCCACACCTCTGCAAACAGGAGCACAGGAGCCTGGAAGCAAAAAGAAACACATCTCAGTGAACTAGAACTGCCTCTCCTGTGGCCTCCCGGTTTATGGCTGGGGAGCATGGGGGCAGAGCTAGAGAGACTCCAAGTCAAAACCAGTCCAAACTCATCTCCATCCAATCCTGTGCTGGAATTTTAAGTTAAAAAAAAAAAGCCATGGGGAATGCTTGTGTGCCATCCGCAGCAGCTTTGCTGTGGCTCATAAACAAGGCTGACCTTTGGTTTGCCAGCATTTAATAAGCCGGTAGACATTTGGCAGGTCTCTTGCTAAAATGTACTAGAAAATTGGATCAGCTCTCAGCATGAATATCAAGAATCCACTATGCAAGCAGTGAACATAGCAAATTGTAGAGTCAGCAACTAATGTACTTCACTGTAATCTTCCCAAATGTCTTAAGTAGTTTGGCAAATCTCTTGTTGCAATAAATTCTAGTAAAGTTTTGGGCTTTATTTTTTTTAACATATGGTCTTAAAAAATAACTTAGCCAAGAACATTTTTAGAGTCAATGCAGAATTTGCTGGAGATGTTTTCTTGAAGCTTGTTTGCACTCTGGCAGTTTTACTCAAATGTCAACCAGACACAGAAAGTATGGGGTTTTGGGTTTTATTTTACAGTCCTGGAAAGTAAAGGTCAACTTTCTGCAATGTAAATTGTCTTTTCAATTGCCATATTTTAGCAGAACAGCAAGAGTCTCACTAATAAACTGGTTTGCAGTGTTTCGTTTTGGTTTTTTCTTCCCTCAGGATGCATTATAATCATATGCAAAATATTTAAAATGCCAATAAGACCCCTGCTAAATCAAATAATTTGGGTAGGCTATGCTATGCTTAGCAGTAACTAGTCAGATTGTACCATTGCAGTCCCTCAGTAGCCTTACCATAATTAACAGGATGACCTGAGGTATTAGTCAGCATGAAAAATAACGTCACAATCTGGCAATATATCAGTTAAAACAAGCTCGACAGACTCAGGCTGTATTGATACATGTGGCCACACTAAAGGCTGCTTGTTATGCTCCTGCTAGCAGGAAAGTTTGTAAAACCATTTATAGACTGTGATATTGCACCAAGCAAATACAAGTATCAGACTCTGGCTCACTATGGAGCGTACAGATGTCCGAGGCGGTAGAGGGGAAAGAGGTGACTGGGGTCTGCTCAGCACTCACAGCACGTTGGAGTGAATGCGAGATAGTTTGCCTCTCCGAAAATTATGTAGAAAACACAGTGGGCTACACTTTGACATTTCCACTTAAGCGCTCTGAAGGATTTTACCATCTACCTATCTGAGAACTAATCCTGAAAATCAGACAAGCTTGTGCCATAACTTCACAGACAAGGCGATCCATCTACATGGCACATGAGTGTGTGCAGGTACTGAGAACTCTCCTCACTTGATTCTTGGACATCAGTTAAGGAAGCATAAAGGCAAGGGATGTACTCCCAATACAGCAGATATGATGCTGATGTATCTCAAATTCCTCTCATAATTAAAAGGAAGCATTTATGGGTGCAGAGTCCCCTTCCACAAGATTTTAGGTGATGTTTGAGGTGGAAGAGATTTCTGCCGTTATATAAGTAAAATCCAAGCCTTTTTATTATTGTTATTATTTATTTATTATTTTTATCTTAATTTTTGGCTAGTATTTCTATACATCTTCTGTTTAGGTTTTTTGAAGCTAGATTTAGAGATAGCACTGGGAGAATCTGGAAAACCAGAATGCACACAGAGGACAGTGATAAAAATGTGTATCTTTAGGACTCTGGAAGTAGAACCCTTCATTGGAGATATTTTAAGTACCCCAAACAGCCTGGAAAATTTTTCCGGTACACCGCACTTGGACAGCACGACATCCCGACAAAGTATCTTGAAGAAGGGATGAATTAACTCTTTCCAACCTTTGTCTGTTTGTCTGAGCTGCCATCACTGGGAACTCTGACTCCTCTCAGAGTCAATACAAATGAAGGGCTGACACCAGGGTCACCTTCTGAAGGGATGGCATTGCCACCACAGGAGGAGAAGATGGTGCCCTAGCTGGATGCAGCATCTATGTGCTAAGGGACATTTAGGACCATCTCATTTGCTGCTTCTCTTACCCTGCCTTTGGTGCCCTCTTGTTTGTAGTGCTAAGTGGTTTTGCAAACACTCTCACTAGGCGTAGGTGCCTCTTCCTGATCTTGTGAATTTGTCCTGTAGCAGAAGGGAGCTGAAATGAAGTGTCTTTTTTTGTTCTGACTTATCTGTGAAGGGGAAGAGAGGAGCTGCTTCAACATCTTTCATCTTAGAAGTGCACCTGCTCATTGACAGGCTTGAATTTGATTTTTGGAATAGATATCCTGGTCATGCCTGTGACAGAGCCCACTCTGACCAGGCATTTAGCACTGTGGCTCAACACATCCCAACATGTCAGATTTGTCTGTTTTCTGAAATCATCAAAGAGAAAGTAAACAGTACATGAAGTGATTCCTACAGTAGACAGACCACTGCTAGTGTGGAATATATTATAAATATATATTTAATAAATGCTGATGCTGTGTTTATTATTATAAACACAAATCTAGGTGAAAATCTAAGGCATAAAGTCTTCCTTAGAGGTGCGGCCACTGAGTAGTCTGGAATCAACCTTTTCCCATCATTCTATACAGACACCCCATTGAAAGCCTTGAGATTAAATGGGTATAAGTCTGAGTTTAACATATTACAGATGTGTGTATATATATATATTAAGAACATTGGATACATTGTACTCTAAAATGCTTTTTTACTTATGGTATTTTTTCAGCTCTTATGATTACTTGCAATAATAAAAAATATTATCCCACAAACTGCACTAAGATCATATGACATAGAAAGGACACTGTCATCTACTTCGTGATTTAATATCTGTGACACTTAGGTAATTTGCGGTCTTTGGACATCCAAGATGATATCAACTGTGCGAAGTGTCAAACCATTCAGTGCATAAAATTAACCAACTCTAGGAGTAAAGGGCTTTAACCAGCTTTGCTGAAGTCAACAGAAAACCTTCTGTGCTAACTGCAGGGGAGTTTGGTTAAGGTCCATATTTAGTTCACTTTGACTTAAAAGAGAAGGCAATGTGCTTTTCAGAGATTCTGCCTGCACTGCACAACCAGTTCACTGGCAGTATGATCCACAAAACACTGAGCTTCAAGAGTTTCTTGCTGGTTATTCTTTGACTATTCAGCTCAAAAGAGAGGTGAGAGGAGCTGCTGTGCCAGAGGACTGGGGCAGCACTGCCTTGCTGACTTTACTCTGCACAACTCATCTCCTCTCTGACTCCCATTCAAAGGGTTTTATCTTTAGGGCACGCTTTCTTGGTCTGCAGGGGATGTTTTCCATCCTGTGCTGAACTGCACAACAGAAGCATTTAACATCTCAGCCAGAATGTCCATCCAGTTGATACTGTTTGGTTTAACCACATACTAGAGATTTGGGTCATACACAATTTGGAGGAGATATATATAACCATAAATCACTAGATCCGTTTTCTAAATAGCAGTGAGAAAATTCTTTCAAGTACATTTATGATAGCAAGACAGACAAAAATGGCTGGTTCAGGAAAAAAATTACACATCTGAAATTTTTACCAAGAAGTAAGAACACAAAGGAATGTGCCCAAGGACCAAGTTGTTTGTAGTGGTGGACTTACATCACTCCAAAAACATACCAGAATTTCCTGCCATAATGATTAAACTAGTACTGTCTATAGTCAGCCCACTAAATATTGTGCAACTGCAGGAGATGCACCCCAGCTTCAGGTGCTGGTGAGTGACTTCTACGGAGTTCAGGCAGAGGCACCATAAAATTCTAACCATGAAATTGTGGAAGTAAATGGCAGCTTGCCCCCAACTTCCACAAAGCTAGCCTGTGTCTCATTAGGGATCACTGGAACATGAACATGATAATCTCTTGCTGTCCAGATTCCTTCTAGCTTTCCTTTGGCTATACATCACACATCTCTTAAAATCAGTGAAATTCAGTGAAATTGTCATACATTAAAAGCAACATATTGCAGGGATTGTCAGTGTGTTTCAATAAAAGGAAAATATTTCTGGGACCTAAAAATAAATATTTATGTAGTCAGGAAAAAACTTTAATAAAATTTTTTTTTTCTTCTTTTTCTGCGAAGGAACTACTTTAAGCCTGGGACAATTGTAAGAGCAATAAGATTTTCATTGTAACTGAACTGCAAATAACGTAAATGTAAATCAACAAATAAGGTCTTCCTTTTACTTTTGCAGGAGCAGAATGTGCCCTCCAATACCAGGACATCTCTCCACAAGTCAGTAGCTGCTCTGCCTGCGTTAAGGCTGCCTGCCCAGCAGCGGGTAACACACACGGATACCAGCAAAGGTAGAAATGTCACTGTACATTATTTGAGAACTCTGTTCCATGATATATCAGAATAATAATGGGCAATAATAAATGAGAGAATAAATGAGAGTCCTTAGCTCTCTTCTTTGGCTGAATAGTTCTAGCTGAGTCAGAAAAGACCACGTCTCATTTTTCCAATGTGTGCTTTTGTTAGGTCAATAGAGAGACTGTTATAGAGTGGTAATGTGAGCTGGGTAGTGTGTGCACGTTCTGGGGCTTTATTGTGTCCCTGCTATGTTAATTAGTATTAGGAACATGATGGATCGGCAACACATGTACTTTCAGAGTCTTAAACCAGCCCTGAGAGTTTAGCACTCCATTAGTTACACATCACAGGAACCCAGGGATGTTTACTCAAAAAAGTATCACTTACAAGAATGAAACATTCTAATTCATTCCTGATAGGGGCTGTGAGGGACACCCAGCCCACATTCAGATCCTGAGGGAGACGCTGCAGCCCAGCCCAGGGTCACACTGGGAATTCCACATCAAAGGTCTCTCCAAGGCATCTCTCAAGGGAGTGAGAAACAGAGAAGCACCAGCCTGGACAAGCAGACAATTTCTCTCCACAGCTTATCTAGTAGAGAAGATAAGAGCAGGGAGTTTGGTGAGAGATGGGTAAGACACATCTCTTAGCAAAATTCCTGCACAGAAGAGAAGGCAGAGGAAAACATAGGTCTGTTTCCTTCCTCTGGCCCCAACAGCCCCTTCTCCCCAAGAAATGCTGTCATACCAGCCAGCAAAAAAACTCTCCTCTCTGCAATCAGCATGGGGGCACAAGCTTCCAAAAGAGCCTGAGCTCTTCTCAAGGAGCCCAGGAGAAATGATAGCAAGAGATGCTGAATACAACTTTTCCATTGTCAAATCCAACACAGTGATCCTTCTATGCACCAAATAACATATAAACCTCAGCTCTGCTCCCTGATGATGTGCCTCCCTGGAGAAATTCTTTGGAGTTTCCTGCCCTTCAGTAGTGTGGGAGAAGGTCACCTGTCACACATAGTTCTTCCAAGGAAGCAGTGTGACCCCCAGAAGACAACAGCAAATCTATTCGCTTTTTTTTTGTGCAATCTTCCTTTCTCATTACATGACAACCTCAGGATTCTCAGGAACAGTTGCCTTCCTTGCACACACCTTTATTCCCCATCGCTGTCTCCTTCACCTCAAACCTGGACTGACACACTAATATTTGTTTTCTTACTAGTAGTCTTAAAAATTTCATCACAGAAATCTGCAAGTATGACAACACAACTAAAGTAAAAAAAAGAAAAAAAGAGACATCTTCACCTTCCAGCAGATCAGTCACTAGCCACCAATTTTGCAGCCATTCTGTAGTGCTGATTTTGGCAAATGTCCTACAACAACTTTGTGTTCTTAACATAAGCACTGGATTACCCTTCATCATTCCAGTTACAGTTGTTAGTAATTAATAATTAGCAGAGTGGGCCCTGGTAGAGCCATGGACCTGATGCTGGCCTCAAAGTGTGAAGTCAAATGGATGATTACAATCAGAAAAGAAACATCAAAACCACTTCCAGACTGTCATTGCATTATTTACACTCTACAGACCATGATTGAGTTAAATATTCATACCCCTGAAAGGGATTTCTTTGTGTGTCTTCCCAGTCATATAATCTAATCTGTGGACAACCCTACTTTCTCCTATGTTCAATTTAGTATCCCAAGTGATGCCAGCACATTCACAAGTACCATGTGAAACAGGCACCGTCTTACTTGGTGATCTTGTCATACTGGCAATCAAAAAGAAAAGTTACTTTAAATTGAAAGATAAATGTGGCTACTCTGTAACTTGGTGGGTGCAAAAACATTTTCAATATATGAATATTTCAATATATTTTTTAACCATCTTTCTACTGCAACCATACTTTAAGGACTGCTCTGATTTATTTTTTTTTAATGAATAAAAGGAGTGTTGACATTGTCCACAACAAAGCTAAGAGGCAATTTGGAATAATCAAAAAATGACAACATCTAAAGGGATATTTTTCAGGCCTGTGTCAGATCCTACAGCATACAGCATGTCATTATAGCCTGTCTACCTTTCAAGCATCTTAACTGCCGTAAATAACACACCCAGGACAAGCCAGATGTGCTGGTATAATCAATTTGTTATTGTTACAGAGAAGCCAGATCAGCATGTGGCAAGGCACTTTAGCACTGCAGATCACTTTTCCACCTCTTAGTACATCAGACAAGAATGATCAAAATCAGGAGTACCATGAACACCTCTCACAGTCTGCTCTCAGGCAAAGCCATTCTTGCACAGCCAGGCAAATGCTCCTTCAGCTCTTTAATATTAGCAGTGCAATCTTAATAACTTGCATTCTATATTGAACCTTGCACACTGCAACCCTAAAATTTTACAGCAGCTTCCAAGCAATGCCAAAACAGCAAGCAGGCAAGTCCAATCATAATCCTTTGCAGGACGCTGTGCTCTGTAGTCATTTCCTGCTTCTCACATGTAAAGGTAACAGACACAGCTAAAGAGGCTGAAATGGTCTTTATGGCTTGGCACATCTCTAATAAAACAAGAGCCTTGACCATATGAAGAAAGGGACAGTTCTGGGATATAGATACTGCAGAACTTGGGAACTCCTGTGGCAAGCAGAACATCTGTTTATCACATTTTCCAGACTTTTATTTTCAGTTGTTCATGACAAAGAATCAGAATTTTTACCAGTCCAAACCATGCTCAGTCATAAACACAGCACTATCCTTTTGAGGTACCTTGAGAATAACAAAGCAGCAGCTTTACTACAGGGAAGTCAAAGAGAGTCAGAAATCCAGGCACAGGAAAGACAGTTCAAGAACAGGCCACATTTTACGAAGAAAGTATTTTACTTACAGGTGGGGAGATTTATTTTGTGTGAACACAGATACTTTAAGCAGCATGAAGAAAAATTTTGAGAAGAGCTTCTAACGGCAAAACAATCTACACCAGAGTTCTGCAGAAAATCCCTACGACAATATTAACCTGCTGACACTCATCTCAAGGAGCGAGTTTGGGTAACATAAATTTCACTTTCTGTTGTACGCTAGTGCAATACCACTACTGAATGAGAAAGAGGATGTGTTCCAAAAAATGTTATTGTTAATGGGAAAATCAGAAAACACCACACTCAGCACTGAAGTCCATAAGGAAATTCACTTGAGGCCACATCCAAGGTTTTAACTGTCCTTGTTTAGTCTTCGTTTTATGTGCACCATTGAAAAGTGTTACATGGTGAACTCACTTCACTGTAACGCAATGCTATTTTATTAAATATAGCTTTGATGGGTCTCTGGATCAGCCAAAGACCTCAGAATTAGGCAAACATAAAGCAAAGCAATCATTAAGTAAAATGAACATCCTATTCAAACTCAAACAAACCAGACCATGGCAGCTCTGTGCAGAAAGAGCACTGGTTGGATCTACTGAGAAAGAACCACGAGTTCAGAAAATTAATCCACTTATGCAACTAACTGCCTTCCAAAATCTTGCATGTTGGAGACAGGCAACCAACTTCTCCACGGCAGCTATCTCATGGAACACTTGTGGCCTGAGCATCAAAGAGGTTCATAAAGGCCCTGGAATATGGCAGCAAGGCCAGAGCAGACCACCATGAGCGTCCTGTACTGCCTATTTCCTGACCATAAAGCACAAGAGTCAGAGCAAATTAGATGAAAAGTATTATACATTAATGCCATCTCTGCCAACACTAATGATTTGTTAAAGTGCGTGATAATTGCTTGAATGCAGGGAAAATGTTCCAAGACATATTCTTCCCATATTTCAGGGAGGTTACTGAAGGGACTAAATCTTTTTTTCCAGTATCTAGAGCTACAATAGGAATCAGCAGAAAAGTAGTAGTGATGGGAAATTCCTGTGCTAATTGAGTGGAGGGCTTAGCTGGAGAGAGATGTACAAGAAATGTTGGTGACGCGCAGTTTCCACAGCTCCCTGCCCACTGACAGGCCAATCCCTACAGTTACTCCAGACACAGAGACAGTTAAAAGTACAGTATATAGAATATAGAATCATAGAATCATAGAATGGGTTAGTTTGGAAGGGGACCTCAAAGATTATCTAGTTCCAACCCCTCTGCCATGCACAGGGACCCCTTCCACCAGACCAGGTTGCTCAAAGCCCCATCCAACCTGGTCTTGAACACCTCCAAGGATAAAGCATCCCCAGCTCCTCTGGGAAACCTATTCCAGTGGCTCACCACCCTCACAGTAAAGAATTTTTTCTTAATATCTAATCTAAACCTACTCTTTTTCAGTTTGAAGCCATTCCCCCTTGTCCTGCCACTACACGCTCTTGTAAAAGTTCCTCTTCAGCTTTCCTGCAGGCTCAGGTAGTGGAAGGCCTCAATTAGGTCGCCCTGAAGCCTTCTTTCTTCCAGGCTGAACAAAACCAATTGTCTCAGCCTTTCCTCATAGGAGAGGTGTTCCATCCCTCTGACCATCTTGGAGGCCTCCTCTGGACTCGCTATAACTGAATGCCACACATTTTCTTTCCATTCTACTTCACTAGATGCTATAATTTGTGAAGGGGAAAGGATGACAGAGAGTCCAAGCTGCTTCTTTTCTGAAGCTTTCTTTAGTCCAGATCTGTAACTACTTGTCTTCCACTGGGAATTTCTCAGTCCCCTACTGGCTCGTATGGCAGCACTCATGCAATGCACTAGATATGCCAAAGCTCACAGTCCTAATTGTATTCTAACATGTGTGGATAACATGGTTGCATTTGCTCCTGTGAACCTAAGACATTTGGCATGATATTTAAGCCCAAGCACACCCAGCATCAAAAGTCCACAAGCAGGAGGAGCAGTGCCTAAACTGAATTTCTAAAATTTATATTAATACATACATATTTCTAAACATAAAAGCTAATTTAGACAGAGGGCATGACTTACTGTTTCATACTTATTCAGCTGTGCTATCAAAAACTGCAAGTAGGAGCCTGGCTTTTTCAAGCAGGTACCTTGATTATACATAGTAAAGAAAACAGAAAAAGCAGTGTTTCACAAACCAGGAAACACCCCACCAGCAAATCAAACCCATGTTACCTGTCCCTCAATTCAAAATTGATATCTTAGCATGTTCCAAATAAAAGGGCAATTGCGATATTTTTAAGGTACAGAGGATTAAATTCAAGCCTATCAAGAGGACTACTCCACAGACAGGACATAACAGTGACTGTCATGATGAGAAAGACAGTCTTGGAAAATCTTAATTCTAGTAGATACACTAGGCATTACCACAGGCATTACCATGTTTTGTTTTGTCTACAAGATGTTTGTCATTGGAGAATGTGATACAAATGTGATGGCATTAGTCTTACTTTCCAGGCAGACTTACAGTTCATCCTCTGATGGAGCACACTGAAAAAATCTAATATGGACTGTAACCAAGAGAGATGAAAACAACAAGTAGCAAAAAAGGGGCTTGAATGTCCAAGACCAAGGTAATTGGGAAAAGGCCTACATCGTCATATCAAAACGCAGCTAGCAGCTTGTGGTCCAGCACAGAGGACATCAGGTGTAGACATCACCCACATATATACTGACATTGCAAGACATTTCTGATCAGACACTAGTTAACTTTGCTCCACTGTCATCATTCAATTGCATAGTAGGAAGAAAAAATTCAAATTTTGGTTACATACTGAGGAAAAGAATAAGTTTCTTGAATGATAAAGAAGAAAGGCAATATCAAGTGTCTTGAAACACTAATACACTAGATGACTCAAAGCTTTGTCATATGGATTTGTCCTAGTTTCAGCCGGGCTAGAGTTAATTTTCTTTTCAGTAGCTGGTATGGTGTTTTGGATTTAGTAGAAGAATAATGATAACACAGTGATGTTTTAGTTATTGCTCAGTAGTTCTTACTCTAGATTAAATACTTTTCATGTTCCCATGATCTGCTAGCAAGCAAGCATGAAAGAATATGGGAGGGAGCATAGCAGGGACAGGTGACATGAACTGGCCAAAGGGATATTTCATAAATAGAGCAACTTCATACTCAGTATATAAATTGTCCAGGAGGGGTCAATCACTGCTGGCAGAAGAGTGTTGAGCATCGGACAGTGGGTGGTGACCAATTGTATTGTGCATCCCTTTTTCCTCTTTGGTTTCACAGAACCACAGAACATTCTGAGTTGGAAGGGACCCACAAGTATCCTCAAGTCCAACTCTTAAGCAAATGGCCTGTAAGGGGATCAAACCCATGACCCTGATGTTGTTAGCGCCATTTTCTAACCAACTGAGCTAGTTTTTATCTCTCTTTCTTTCTTTCTTTTTCTTTCTTTCTTTTCTTTCTTTTCTCTTTTTTTTATTTTAAGTATTATTATTGTTATTACTATCATTACTAGTAGTAGTGATAGTATAATATTTTATTTGGTTTGAATTTTTGAACTGTTCTTATCTCGACCCTCAAGGTTCACTTTTTTCCGCTATCAGGGAGGGCCAGGGGGTGAGTTAGCGGCTGCACGCTACTTAGCGGCCAGCTAGGGTTAAACCACGGCAGGCTTCCTCAAGTATTCCTCCTTTATTTTGTTGGACCCACTTCCACAGCCAAACAGGATAAGCAAAACACCTTTGACATCTTCGTCTTTTAGTGAGAGAGGAGTTCAAAGAGAAGCTGTGTGTCTGTGTGCGTGCATACGCATGCAAGACATAGGGACACTCGCTGGCTCTCCCACCACGCCGCGGGAGCTCTGTGCTCACCGGGAGCGGGCAGGGGCTGCGGAGAAGCTGGTGCCTGCCGTGGTGCCTGCCTCCTACCTTCAGGTTTGAATAAACAGGTTCGAGGGAGAGAGAGTCCTGGTGACACCCGCCCTGCCTCCTGCTCCTCGCCGCACTGAGCTGACCCTCAAAGCAGACCCCGAATGCACCCCTAGCCGAGCTGCCAGAGCCACGCAGAATTAGGGAAGGACAGACCCATCCCTCTTCGTCATAATGTGCAGCCATAACGTCGTGCGGCCATAACACCATCCAGCTCCAGCGGCGCTCAGCGCCGTGACCGCGCTGACACTAGGTGGGGCCATCGGCCAGGGGGACCGAGCCGGGACGGGGAGAGGAGCCCGGGGTCACAGCGTCGCGTTCTCTCCTGTCCCCGTCCCAAATGAAATATCGCTCCTTAGCCCTTATAAATCCACCCAGTATTCGGCTGAAACAGCGCCAGACTGCCTTATTTTATGTGAAGACGAGGCCATGTTTTGATGTCTAGGTCATGTTGTGCAAGACAGCGTTTACTTTAGGTAATTGTTTGAATAACATATGTTACACTGTCTGAATAATATATGTTACACTAATTTGCGACTCATTCTGTCTCCTGTAATCTCGGCTCAGGGATGCATTCAAAGACAGTTGCAACTCCAGACATTTGGAAGGAGAAAGTATAACCCATTTCCCAAGGAACTCTCAAATATCTTGTACACACAGTTCACATTTTCAACTGAACTGGTAGTTTTCCAATTTAAGGAGGAGAAGGGAGCCTTGGGATGAAGGACTGGAGTCACTGGTTCTTTAGCATTAGTGATTTTTTTTGGGGTGCTGTTGAAAGAAAAAAGCAATTGGAGTTCTTTCAGGCACTAACTTTAATCAGCTGCAGATTAATTAGGACCAAGTCATAGTAACTAGGTGTTGGCTTGCACTTTCAGGTCTCAAAGTGTGTAAAAACACTGGAGGTGGTGCTGTGAAGGAGGTGAGGAACCAGACTAGAGCCACTACCAGCAGGATGGTGGTGATTGTACTGCCTCTTGCCACACTCAACACCACAGTTATTTCTCCTATTGCCAGCCCAATGGGACAACAGAAAAAGTGGAAGTCTGTTAAAACAGCACAGAGTAATGGTGGCCAAATCAGGAAATATATGAATGCCAGACAATAATTTGACAGGTAGGGTGTTTGCTTGAGTTTTAATATGTTAAAAAATATACCAATCACCTGGGAATTAGTCACAGTTTTTCATAAATATACACCACACAAGTCTGCTAAAATCTCATGTGGTGAACTTTCAGGAAGAGGAGTGAGGCATGAGCACAGCCAGACAGAGAGACCAGCCCCTTTCACCTCCTGACTCCTGGTATAGATCACACTGTTCCCTTTTCAAGGCAATGGCAATGTGGGCATAGACTCTGATAGCTCAGGCTTAGGCATGGGAAAGCACCACTCCCCAGAAGCCATTGAAGGTCAGAAATTATCCCTTCCCTCCTCCCTCCCTGATTATGTGTTTCAAAGTTCTGCAAAACAACCCCAAATCCAGCCCAATTCCCACTCGTTCACAAGGCCTGCAGTGATTGATGCCTGTATTGGGTTCATCCAACATAGGTGAGAATAGCAGAAGGAGGTATGTGTGAGTGAGCAGAACTAATCCCCTCTTTCTTTGAAGCCTTAGAAATATTATCACCTGCTCTTTATTGTATTTATATTTTGGGGAAACATTCAAAACAAATTAACTTCTCCCCCACAACCCTTTGTCCCTGATAATTAACTATTTGTCAATAGAGATAAAAGAAGAAAAATGCATGTGGCCAAATGTTCCTTTTGTTTATATCTCTGCAGACTATTAGAAAAAAAAAAGCAACTACGGGAGAAAGAGCAAGGAAGAAAATTCATAACTTACACATAGTTGACCATAACTTTACTAGGGACTAAGCCACGTAGTCTAAAATGTAATAGCTGGCCTGTGAGTTGGGCCAAATCTATGAAGGGTATTAAAGTTTCCTGAAGAGGGTTTTGCAGTAAGTGTGGAGCCATGCAGAATAATTTTCTGTAGTTTAGGAGCTGTTCTTCTTGAGAAAATGTTGCTTTTCAATATGTATAATATGTAGCTGTACTAAACGTTAAGCACTGCCCTCACTTTGCTAGGGCAAAAGGCAGGTTGAAGGTGAAAACCCACTGATTTCTGTTACCATGGAAGCTGCCAGCTGTGCAACATGAACAGCTTTGAGCACTCTCCTGTTCCTAGTCAGTGAGTCAAGAGATTAACATGCAGAGGCTGAGAAACAGAAACCTACATTTTCATTGCAGCACTCCCTCAGGTACAATACTCCATCAGGATTGCTTCTGCACTCCTTGTCACATCGGTCATGTAGCCCTTATAAATGACAAAAACATCAACATTTGACAAGTAGCAAGGAAGTATGTCTCTCTGTATTTCTGAGTATTTCAATGTCTCTTTTATATTTTTCTGTATATAGTGAATTTTATCTCACTCTTTCTGGTTTATATTCACTGTGACAAGAAGGCATCTCAGCAATGTGCAGGCAAGGCAGAGGGACTACGTTCCAAAGAAAGATGTTTCTGAAAGTGGGTTTGAGCATGCAACAGAGAGGGAAAGTTTCTGTCAGCTACCACAAGTGCCTTCACCATCATGTTGCTGCCACACTGCTCACTCTCACACTGCCTTTCTTCTGTGACACATACCCACTCCTGAGGGGGCTGCAGCCCCCAAGCTGAGATGTGTACTGCTGGCAGATGTGTCAGATGTGCTCACCTTCCTTGGAGAGAGCAGCTGCTCTTGAGCCTGCACACCTCCCTGCCTGTTCTTCAACCTTTTGCTGACTCATGTATTTACTGCCTTTAGGGAAAAGAAGGGTAATTATCATAAGATTTCTGGTTTTGTCTAGGTGTTGCAGACAAGAAAGTTGGAATGTATGAAGTCTATAGACTCAGAAATATGACAGACGGAAAGAACCGAAGCAGTGTTTACCTTAGGTCTCACAACATTTTTTGTGACAGTGGCTTGCTCAGGGTTATCTCAGAATTGCCCTGAGCTTTTCAGGGAAACTTTCTTCCTGAAGGCAGTCACAGTTCAGCCGTTGAAAAGCTATAGCCTCTCTCTCAGACAGAAAAAATTAGAAACAAAATCTTATACTATATGCTCTGGTAAATACTATGTTCTGCTCTCCTATTTACAGGGCACTGAAGCTTTTTAAGAATTTTCAGATAAAAGCAATTAAATCCTTGTAGCACTTAACTTTATCCCTTAAGGACAGGGAAAAATCTTCCTTGGGTTAGAGGGCAAAGCAAAGATGTAATCTTGCAAAGGTTCCTGTTATCTATCTCAGTTTAATCTCCTGCACAGCTTGCAAAGACATAAAGTACCAAACCACACTCCCAAGGTGCTGTAAATACTTTTTTTCTGTTGCAGCTTCAGGAAAGCCTGGTCTCTGGCAGCAGACCTTCTTAAAGTACATCTCACTCCATAAATGCCAAATCTTTCTGTACATATGATTCCATCCTCTACATGATCCGGTTACTGATAGTGATCTAAGGGTTTGATCCTTCACTTAAGGTCAGGATTCAGCCTGTATGCAGGCATACTTGGCAACTAGCTGTGGCTATGGCTCTCAAGCACTGCTGCTATTGTGGAAATTATTGAAATCAATCTCTAGTGAGGGACACAATTATTAACCAAGATTCCTGTTACAGCAGGCATGCAACAGCCTGCAGGGAGTTGCTGAGTCATGCATGAAATCTGCCTGTGACAGTGCAGAATGCTGCAGGGAGCACATTAACAAAATACCATTTAGGATGAAAAGACTTTGTTATCTTCCCATGGCAGACTACTGTAAGAATGTTAAAATACTGTATTAAGATATTTATTAAAGGGAAGGGAGAAGAATGATGCTTCAGAGTTATATGTCCACTAAAATTGAAGTTTAGATAGTATGCATTCAGAAATAATTTTATTTTCCAGTAATGACAATATGCAATATCACGTAAGAAATGAAATTGAAGAATTGATCTTATTCTTCAAATACAGGATAGCTTCAATATTAAAATTAACATATAAATTTAGCATCAATCTTATTTCCCCACTCACATCTGCTGAGTAAATGCACATAAAGAATGAATCACTGAAACAGTATACTCAGAGAATCAAAGTCATTTTTCAAAGATGTTAGCACAAATGTGAGGTGAGCCTGTTCACCAAGCATACAACAAATGTTGCAGAGGTGGCCCTTCAGACCAATAAGGAGGGCAAGTCAGGGACCCCCGGGGAAGCATCACAACCACCAGCAAGGGCAAGGCAGGGGATAGTTTTGGGCAGGACATCCCCATTTCTTACCCCTGCTCCTGTTCTGCCTATTCCCTTGTCTACAGTTACGTGAGCTACTGGAGAATGTGAACATCGCGTTAGGGCTCTCCGTAGCATTGTTATTGTTTACATCGCTGTTGGCCCTTAACCATGTTGTCACATCTAGAGATTAACTAGGGGTTTTTAGCAGTGTGTCTCTGGGGCAGCAACCAGCCTCTGTAGAGCCCACCGCACCGGTCTCTGGTGGGCCTGGGACCTGGACAAGCAGAGCCACGAGCAGAGAGAGTGAGCTCTGGGCATTGCCCAGAAAGCAGACAATGAATTCACCCATCTGACAGGAGAAAAAGCAGTCCCAGGGCATCCCAGAGAGGCTCCCAGGTGGCTGCTCAGCCAGGAGCAGGAGCTGTGCAGAGGCTGAAGATCTCTTGCTCCAAGAATGCCACAGCTGCTCTAGCACCCAAAAAAAGACCCAAGAGGAAAAAAAAAAAAAAAAAAAAAAAAAAAAACAAAAAACACAACACAAAACACCAAACAAAAATACCCCAGCACCTCTTTGGATCCTGGGCTCCAGCAGAGACCTCACCAGGCTCAAACCATCTTTCTTGATGCTTGAATTCTTTTTGTCCTCAGGAGGCTTCTGAGCATCAATACCTTGAGCTTCAGCCCTCCTCACCCCCGCGTCCTCCCTTCCTCAGCACGAATTATTTGCTCCGTCACGAGGCTACCCTTGTTCACCACAAGATGGAGCTGGGAAACGCAAGGTGTGGGGTGCCCCACCCGAAGGCCTTTCCCCGGACCCCGGAGGCGTGGGAATCTCGGGATGCTGTACCCCGCAGGTGCTCCACAGGCTCAGGATCAGCCCCGCCGCTGCCAGCTGCGGTGACACGGCTGTCACCGACCTCGGTGAAGGCACGGCCTGAGCCAGGGTGCCAGTTCCGGGGTGGCCACTGTGGGCCCTGACGATGGGGCACACAGGGCTCCAGCGGAAAGGGGGCTCCCTCACCCCGCGGTTGCCCACTCTGAGAGGGTGGGAGTGGGTGGGCAGTCCCCACCAGCACAGCAGAGGTCTGCGGAACAGCTCCCAGCATGGTGTGGGCAGAAAAAGTTCCTGCCAACACACCAAGGGATCCTTAAAAACTGTATTTGCCTGTAGTGCCAGCCTGGAAAATATAGCTGGGTGAGCAAAGCAACATCTCTAAAATACCACTGCAGGCCAATCAGTATTTCTTAAAAAAATAATCTTCTGGATACCATTTTAGCTATTTTAGCAATATTTTATTGCATGGCCAAACAAAAATTATTGTTCAACATGAGAACCTGCATTTCTGATTTTGAACAGAGATACATTTACTTTATTTAAAAAAAAAAAAAAAAAGTAATTTTGAGTTGAGTCAAGTTATTTTATAATACCAGACAAGAATCATTTTAACTTGTTTCCTTTTTCAGAAAACAACTTATCAAAAGGGATAAAATTTTAAAAAATCATACCACCGAATCTGCATTTTCAGCACAAGTGTGATAATAGTTCACTCCACTTTAGCCATGGTCAACTTTCTTTGAAAGATGTGTCACAGTTCCAAGATGCCAAAATTCTGTTCTCTGAAAACCTGCAGGCCATAGTGTTTATGAGCTGTCTAAGGTGCCACTGTTCGGTCTTTCTGCTGAAGATGATTCCACCTCTGTAGCAAAACAAACAAAAAACACAAAACACAAAACCAAACTAAAGCCCATACAGATTTCATTTAATATACAGGGATGCCTATACAAAGGTTTCTGCAGGAAGGAAATCCGCTCAAAATCGGAGCTCCTAGACCTAACTGCTCTTATCTAGCCTTTGACACTTAATTCTTCTGCAGTCTTGTAGCACAGCATTTCACTACCTCATGCCTTTCTGTTTCCAACATCAAATATATTTTACTTATTACTTTTGTCTCTGGAGTAGCTGTAAGGTGAATTTGTTTACAAGTTCCACGTGAATGCAGGCAAATCTGTCAGGACACAATTAAAATTCTTCATTTAGGAAAATTTTAGATGCTTTCACATTTACACTTCCATAAAAGAATCTATTTATTTTCTTTCCCCCCTTCCCCTGCTTTTAAGTCTTTGCTCTGTAGCATTACCAATAAAATGCTTTTCTGAAGAGCTTGGAAAGTTATGCAAGATAAAGTATCTTTCTGTTAATTTATCCCCTAAGGAAAACAAAATCATTATTTTATTCTCCTTTCTGTGCGTGTTCAGTACCTTGATAAAATGAAAGATTCACTGTGTGCATGCGACTTGTGAAACAAGAAATGCCAAATGAGAAGACAGGCATTCATATCAACAATGACACTGGATAACATGCCTGATATGTGTATAACAGTTTTAAAGCGCATCTTCTTTAGGGTTTAACTTCAGGGCAGCCTCAACATTTTTCTGAAATGTGGGACTAATCCATACACCTGAAGGTCTGACAGTCATTTCATCTGCATTCAGAGCTGTGTTTTGTACAAGTCACTTGTCAAGCATATGTTGTCAGTTGTGAGCAGTTGAAAAAATGGCACTAGTACCTTAACGAACTTCTAAGTGAACAGTTAACTTAGTGGCATTCCTCATCAGAAGCAATTCCTAATGTTACTCAGACACACATAAGATATGCAGTGTAATCAATGCATGCAATCATGCAATAAATTGTTCAAACCAATACTTTTCTACATTTAGGGAAGTTGCCATTTGGCTAAATATTATTTTAAAGAAAGGCCTGCTATTACATTCTATTTCCTTTTTTTTCTACTTCTACAGTATAGGAAAAAAAGATGCTTCTGAAGCACCGGGAGAGCCTTTTGTTTTCTGCTTTCTGTGACTGTAGCAAGCTCTGCTTTACTCAGCTGAGCTTGGAATTGTCTGCAGTACATACTCAAGACCTCAGCTTCCCTGATGACAACATTTGCCTAATCTCAGTTGCAAACTACTAGGCAGGGAAGCAGAACCCAGACTTGGAAAAAGAGGCTTTCCTTGACTGCAGTTGCTGGAGCTGGACATTTTAACCCTGCCTGAGGATTAATCAGCTCTCTGTCTTCAGAATGTATTTGCCCAGTATAAATGACATAAACCAAGATCATGATCTTAGTTTATTTTTCTAGAGTCCTTAGCATGCTACATTAACCTGACAATGCTTAATCTGGTGTTCATTTCACAATACACTTCATGCAATTCACAGCTGTAATTGGTTTTACACTGACATTACACATTTCGACCTAGCCATGGGAAAAGAATAACTCTTAATAATATTTCTCTGAAAAGTGTCCAAGCTCAAACGGCACAGAAGGAGCTCATATTAGTTGCATGTGCATATTTCTTTCTTCTGCTTTTTTTATGATCACTGGCATAAGATTATAAGTTCCTTGTTTTAGTCCATTTGCAATTGAATTATGTTTATTTGATTTCTTATGTCCTGAGGAGTTCTCTCTTATAAAACAGCATTCAAGTATTCTAGTTTAACATCCCCATTTTTCTGAGTTAAAGAACAAAGTAGACCTTGGGCTTCTGTTTCCATTATGAGCCTTCCAGAGTCCCATAACCAATAGCCATAAAGTCTTCCTTTGTAATACAGACTCAGCACTAAAGCCAGAGTATTGCTATTTGGCATTATCCAGTGAAGTGCAAGAAATTAAAAAAAGTTATGTCTTTATTGCTATAGTATAATACCAAGCAAAGTCACTTTTTAATACAATTGCAAGAGTTTCATAGAGTATGTGTCCCTCTTCTTAGGGGCCAGTAGTTCAGCTGCACTGTGAGTATCGCTTAGCTATCACACGTCAAATGTCAGTCTAAGAAGATGTGTTGAGTATTCTTGAGTCTGAAGAATCAGACCTTTCCTCATATTCCTCTTCTGTGTAAATTGGTTGCTTAGACACAATAGGACACCCATCATCAGGAATTGAGATCCTAGGATCCTCTGACGAGCGGGAAGGAAGTACAGGTGAGCTCCGGAAAACTGTGGTTGTGTTGCTAGAGAAAGGACTGACATACTGGGACCGCAGCTGGTACTGCTGCTGCAGTGTCATGGTGTTCCACAGGGTGACATCATTGGGCAGGAACGGGCTGGACTGATTTCTTGCCAAAGTGTTCCTCAACATCAGCGGGTAGCGTGGTGGTTGAGGGAAAGGGTGCTGCAGAGGTACAGCCAAAGGATTTGGCATGACATTACTGGAATCAGCAGAGAACCTTAGTGTGTCAGGAACCCTAAATGCTGAGCCCACAGACCACTTGGAAGATGAAATAGGGTAGGAACTCAGCGTGTGTTCAAAAATGTGCCCGTTGGAAGGCAAAACAAGACCATCGGATTCTGCAGAAGTTCTCTCCCCACTGGCCACCGAAGACCGACTAGACAGGAGAACCTCCACAGCACTCACCAGATCACCACCACACCCCTTCAGGATCAACTCTAGCACAGCTGGCTTTTGACTAGGGAAGATCTTTTTCAAGACTTCAAGTGGAGGTCTGTTTGCTTTCAAACTAAATGGTAAAGAAACTGTCCCAGAAGGACCTTCTATCAGGAGGTGGTTCTGCTCTGGGTGGTACTTGGGGCTGTCTGGATGATTCTCTGTGCTCCCACCATTTTTCTGAACTGCGTAACCGACCTCATCCACTGAAACAATTTCAGGGCTTTCAGGGGTGAAACAGCTTTTGGCTTTAGTCATGTCTGGGGAACTCCTTTGGTCTGTGTCTTTGTCGCTGTAGGTCTCAGCATTGTCTGCTCCACTGGCATCACCCAACCTCTCCTCATTCATGTCTGCAAAGAGAATTCAGAGAAGTTAATAAAAAACTGAAGCCAAAAGCTTTTACAGAAATTTGAGGATAGTGTCTTCTTAAAGTGAACAAAGAAGAATGGGGGGGGGGAAGAGCATTTTTCACAGAGGTGCTGTAAAAATTAAGGTATCTTTGCAACATCTCATGAAGATAAAACTGCAAAAGAATAATGTTACCTGGTCTAGGTCTTATAGGTATCTGTCACGTTTTCGCATGTGCAAGGAAAGAAGCTGTAGCCATTTTTCTGTTGCATCAAATACACTGTATCAGTCGTCTCTCACTGATTACATGGCAGCAACACACCAGCCAAGTGCAAGCTTTCTCAGAGGAACCTGAGCACTTTCACATCATAATTCCTCACTAGCACCATCCCACTGTCTGTGAGATAAAGAGGGCACTTAGGGAGGCCAAAATTCCCTCTGCAAGTCCAACAGCATTGGTGGAACCACTTCATCATGACTACTGGTTGAAGGTATAAAAAGTCTGCAAATACATCAGTGTATTCAAGTTCTGGCTCTGCAGAAATTGGTTCCTCCCACAGCACAGATTCTAGAAAAATCTGGTTTGAGAAGGACCTCCGGAAAGCATTTGGTCCAATACCCTGTCCAAAGCAAAAGCAACCTAAAATATAGAGTAGGTTGCTCATGTCCCTGCTTAGATGAGTTTTAAATAATTCCAAAGAGGGAGACCCCACAAACTCTCTTAGCGCTTGTTCCTGGTATCTTGCTTTTTATGTGCTAAACTAAGAAGGATAAGAGCTGAGTACAGGGCTGAAAACAAGCCCATTGACCATGCTGTCTCCAGGTAGACACTCAGAAATGGGAACATCCCACATCTCTGGTCACTTTAGTAATGCCTGACCTGAGTATAGAATTGTTGTCAGCAAGAAGAAAGGAAGAAAGGTTGACAGTGCTTTCACAGCCTATGCACAAGGGAGTGCATAGAATTGCTTGAGATTGTTCATGGTTATTTCTCAAGAACACAGTTCTGCTGACCTTCCTCATAGAGCAAAATGATGGTATCCTTGAGAGGCATCAATGCATGGGGGAGGGATCATTGTCCAAGCTGCAGCTGACAAGAGCCTAATTTAACTGCTCAGGGCAGTGCTTTTGAACACATATATGTGAAAAACTATCTGCAAAAAAAACCCCAATGCAATTATTTTCTTGGTTTCCCAAGTCCCTGGTTAACAGCCCAACTAGATAAAGAAGCTGTAAGAAGCAAGCAAAGGTTCCTAAAATGTGCTGATGAACACCCCTGCCCAAGTGAGATGCAACCAGTTAGAGGTATGCAAGAACCTTAGCCTCACTGCTCACCACCTCCTGCCTCTCTCTCGCCCCATTAACAGGCAGAGCATCTCCCCATGCAGTGGAATAAGTTTAGTGTTTCACAGATCAGCTTGAGACAAAGTCTGTTAATGCAATTTCCCATCTTGAGAGAGAAAGAAGTCAAGGTCTGAGCAAGCCCACGCTGAGCCAGAAGCCACTCTGCTCACCAGAATGGGAGCTATAAATAAGTATGAGATCCTGGCAGAGCACAGCCTAACAGTGTGAGTATGCCAAAAAGTGCTCCTCGTGAGGATTGTGGTACCTGGTAGAAATGATGGGTCATCCTACAAAGCTGTGGGATGCTGGTAGTTTGGGATGTGGAAGATAAGCATGTAGCTGAGGAATATAGCTGAGGAACTTAGTTGCCCTAATGAAGATCTCTTTTAGCAGGATAGCCTGGTTTTGGTACTTGTTTTTATATTGGTTATGCTCATTGTCCAGTGCAAACAGACAAGCATAACTTTGCATGTTGCTACATTACAGAGAAGGCAATGTATGTATCCTCTCTCATACGCTCAGTGTGTCAATCTTGCCTTAGCGGCCAAAGTGGAATGTACGAATTGTTTGCCAATAGCAAACTGGCAACATGCATCCTTTTGAGGAGATGGTAAAACGCCGGCATAGCTCATCCATTATTTGAGAAAACATGAGGCTCACACTACCTTTCCCTCCTAGTCCCTTCACGTGTTCATAATTACGCATTTGTTACAAGAGAAGGGGCACTAAGAGTGATTCACATCTTAGTGAATGCACAGTTTATACACTGAAGGCTTAGAGAGCAGTCTGAGGACATCTAACTACCGGTTCCTGTCTTAACAGAGTTAGAGAGGCAGTTAGGGGAGATGATAGCCCTAATTTCCACATCAATAGTTTTCACTGTAGTACACAATACTACAAAATTAACTGAATGCAAGTAGAGAGTATTTCAGAACTACCGCATTTTTACAGTGTATCTCTGTGGCATGAGAACAAGTACAACTAGGAAGAAAATACGTGCTTTACAAAAAAAAAAAATTATATCAGATAAGATCTCTCTAATACATTCCCTGTTCCTTACAAAATATTATTTTCAAGATATTTTAGATTTGTTCAATTTTCAGTATTCTTAAAAATATCCTTATGAGGCTTGCCTAAAAAATTTTCTCCAAATTCTGAAAACTCATCCCACTGAAGTTTGCATCTTTATCATCACGAGACCGCGCAGAGCCCGATTCTTAACCTTTGCACAAGGACAGTCTCCTCGTACAGCAGAGATCACAGCGGCGCATCTCAGAGGGCTGTTAGACTTACGGGGACAGACACGGAAAACGAGATTTCGGTGATTTAAATCGAAGTGCTGTTATTAACACATGGAGAATTACCCTCCGTTGGCTAACACTGAGCATGGACGCTGTTGTATTTTTCCCCTCTGCCTTTTCGAGATCATTTCTGGATGCCGGTGTCAGGAGGCTTCATCCTGGGGCTGGGGCTGGTCGCATGGCAGCTCCTGCCGACCTGGCCGGCCCCGGTGCTTCCCTGTCTGTCAGGCTGTGTTCCAACTACATTTTCCCCATGGGAACACTCCTTGCCTGCCACGCTGAGGGCGCGGAGAGGGCCAGGTGGAAGGCGCGCTCCAGGGACTGTCCCCAGCCCTTCACAGGAACAGCCGCGACCGCGATTTTCGTTTGTTTAAAATTGGCACAAAATAGCAATCGTCAAACAAACAAAAATTAGGGAAGATACATTATAAATGTCCTTCTGTGGGCACTAAATTGTAGGAATATTGCATGTGTGTATTAATAGCAAATGTTTATATTTTCAGGTACAAAACCAATTTTGTATTTAGAAAGTACAACCCGCTGCTCTTCACCAAAGCTTTTTTTTTTTTTTCTTTAATAACTTGTAAGCTTCACATAAAGATGTTCTGGGCTTCAAGAAAGAAATCTCGTTCTGGGATATTTTTCGTCTGTAGGGTTTGGGTGTTGTGTTTTGTTCTGCGTGGGGTTTGATGGGTTTTTGCTGTGGGTTTTTTTGTTGATGGTAGTTGGTTGGTTTGATTCGGATTGGGTTTTTTTGGGAGGGGGCTGTTCTGGCTTTTAGTGAGGTTTTTGGTCTTGTTTAGGCGGTTTTGTATGTTTCTGTGGTTTTGGTTTGGGGGACTGTACTTTTTTCTCTGTGTGTGTGTGCGTGTGCGCGCGCGCGTGTGTGTGTGTTGGGGTTTTTTCCCCCAACACCTTCTATTTCAAATTGCCTGCATTCAAGTATTCACTTTGTGATCCCGGGGAAAATTAGGGGAACTGTTTTCTTATTGATATAAACGATGGGGAGTATTCATAAAATAATATGTTTGCAGAGACAGATACAAACCTAGATCTATACAGAGATGCAGTGCAAATACAGATATACATAAAACACAGAACTGTGGGAGAACCATGCATGCATTTACAGTAAAATACAGATTAATAAATAAAGCTGCTATAAATTTGGAGCAATATATACCCCAATTCTCCTTGACTATTTATACATTAAGGATCATGAGTCAAATCTTGTAAAGACGCCAAATAAAAGTAATATGGATGAGAGAAGCTGTTCTCAATTCAATAACTTGTCTGGAAAACTTGGTCTAATACTTTGGAACAAATTTGTTTCCTCGATATTCCCACTGCTGACTCCCTGTTAAAACAGCTTGTTCTTTGATTGTTAGGACAGATTTTCTTGGATCCCAAAAGAATTTGCTGTTTTCCTTATTTGTATTAATAGAAAGGACTATACCAGAACTAGCATAAAAACATGAAAAGTTAAGGTCGTTGGTTTTTGGTGAGGTTTTTATCGGTTTGTTTGTTTGGGGGGGATTTTTTGGTTGGTTGGGTTGTGGTTTTTTGGTTTTCTATCTGTTTGGAGGAAGGGGGGGGGTGTTAGTTTGGTTTAGGTTGTCGGAGTTTTTAATTACTTTCACTTCAGGCTTTCAACCCTATCTTCAAAGGTCTAAGGTACTTTGTAGGAGATTAATCACTCTTCTCTAACACAGAGACAACCGTGCTGCATTAAGAAGCTGGCTCTGATAATAAGACACGACCCAATATAGCATTATATTGTTTACAAACCTGGACAACTACTACTATACTAAGAGAAATGTGCTCATGTGGGCGAGGAAAGTTCATGAGCACGGTAACAGGAGGAGGGATCATCCCAGTTTAGCAGAGGCAGGTGCAACAGGGGTAGTTTCTGTGTGCATCATTTGCACAGAACAGAACTTCACAACTGTCCCGCCGAAATGACAGGATTTTATTCTGGCAGGAATAAAAGCAGAGGGATCTGATTCTACCGTATGTCGGGAAATTTCCCCTTCGTAGTGAAAAACACCTTTCAGGAGATTAATGTCCTCGCGGTGGAAAGGGGGTGTGTGTTTGTGTGTATGTTAGAGACGGGACGGACAAGGGGAACAAATAATTACATACATGTTTTGACGACGATTTTAATTGAGGTAGTGGGGAGAAGGAAGTGAAAGCCCTGCCGCTCAGAACACGCAGGATAGTTAGAAATAAACAAGTTGTGTGGTGACAGGAAGAACCATTTTCCACTTTGCTGTCACGCATCCACATGTTCATAAAAAGCGGGGGAAAAACCCCTCTGTAACTGTCGGGGACCGGGGACCACGGGGGTGACGTCTGTGTAACCAGGACGGCTCCTCGGCGGTACCGGAGCGCCCAAGTCCCCCCAACCTGGCCTCACCGCGGGAGGGGGCGGGGGCAGGCGCGGCACTGAGGGCCTTGATTTATGGAGATCTCCTCCGTTATGTTTGGGGTTTTGTTTTTTGTTTTTGTTTTGTTGGTTTTTTTTTCTTCGGTAAAGCTGCTAGCAGAAAGTGCTGACTGGCTGGCAAGGAAGAATTTCTCATCAATACACTTTGATTTTATTTTGCAAACAAAATGCCTGTTGCTTGGTAACATTTCACTTGAGCCTGACCTTCCCCAAAAGTTATTGCTATCAGATTCGATTTACACTCTCCTCCCGTGATTACTGTAATCTTTTAAACTGGGAAGTTCATATATCAAGGGGAAGGAAAGTTGGGCGTGCAAGTTAATACCGTTCCTATCCGTCAGATTTATATCGTGCTGGCGGACAGGAACTTGTACTTTCTGGAAGAAGCCAAGGGGGCTTTTCATCCCCTTCCCTCCCCAGTCCTTCGGCTTCACCGCCCCCACTTCTACGCAGGGAGGAGGCCCCGGCCAAGCGCCGCCGCGGACGCGGATGGTGAAAAGACTCCGAGCTGGTGGGAGGCTACGGCCAGCGGAAATTTGGGCAAAGACCCCCAAAGCCCAGGGGAACGGCCGACGGAACCAGGCGGAAGTGCAGGGGACAGGGGGGTCTGAGGGCAGGCAGGCGGTGCCAAGGGCCGGAGAAGAAGAAGTGGGTCCCAAGCCACCGGCATCCTCGCCACACTGACAGACTCAGCCGTGCCGCCGCCTCGGGGCCGGTGTTGTGTCTCCTCCAGTGCTGGAGGACAAAGCCCTGTGCCGGGGCCCCCACGGACGCCTCCGTGGCCGGGATGGCTCCGTACCGCACACGGTAGCCCGTGGGTGAGAGCTCAGGGTTCGCCATTTCCCTCCCGGAGTACTGGGTAAAATTTCGTCAGTCTCCGCTTGTCTGCGGAGCGCACTAGGCTGCCAGCGGCCTGTCCGACGGGTATCCCCGTCGTGAAAGACTGTCGGCTCCCGCTCAGACACTGGGCGGGGAATGGGACAGCAGTTCCGGAGCGTTAGTTTTGCTTCCAGAAGTGTGTGTTACCGACAGGTCGCACTCACAAGGTGCCGGTTGCGGGCGGTGGTTTCAGCAACCCCGACCTGCCACAAGCAGCCCCAGACGTGACCCGGAGCGCAGGAGGACTGGGTTGCCCGGTTCATCCCCTACCACCACCTCACTTCTTCCGGTCATCCTTGCTCCACAGAAATCCTCTAGCTCCCGGCGCCGCTTTTAGTCCGAGGCACTCTCTGGAGATTTTGTCCTGGACGAGGCCCCGCAGCCCCGACGTCCGGGGTGGGGGAAGCCGGGGAGCGACTCCAGCCGGCTAAGGGGGCCGGGAGCGGCAGAAGGACGTGCGGTTGTGATCCACGCGGGATCAAAAGCGGCACGTCGGGGAGCCGGCTGGCAGCGGCGACATTCGCCGGCCTCCTCCGCTGGTCCCGGCGGCCACGATCCTGGCAGGGCTCTGTGTGGCTCCTTGCTTTTTATAGAGGGACAAAGGGCACCCGCCGAGCTGCCTTTCCATTCCCTTCCCACGGCGCCCGTCGGGAGGAAGGGAAAGCCCTCGCCTTTCTTCGTCCCGGCCCCACCCCTCGAGACCCGCCCGTCGGGGTCTGTCCCGGCCCTCCCTTTCCCTCCTGCCCCGGTACCGCGGCGCCCTGCCCGGCCCGGCCCGGCCTCACCTGCCTTGGGGAGCGGCCCCGGGAGCGCGGGGGGCGGCTCGGTGGCCCAGCGCAGGGCGGCGGCGGCGGCCAGTTCGGCGGGGGCCCGCGGTGGTGCCGCGCAGGGCGGCGGCCCCGGCGGCGGCGTGGGGGGCTCGGCGCTGCCCGGCGGCCCCGGGAGGGAGCGCAAGGAGTCTGGGAGGAGGCTCTCCAGACTCTCGTTGGCCTGTTGCCGGCGGAGAGCCACCTGCGCGGCCATCACCCGCTGCCTCTCGATGATGAGGATGCACTTCTCGCAGGTGCAGTCCTTGAAGCGGCAGTAGCGCTTGTGCCCCTTCAGCCAGGACAGCACGCCATGGTTGCGGCACCGGGCGCACTTGGGCGTTCGCTGCAGCGGAGCCCGCGGGGGCTGCGACACCGGGCCGCCCATATAGAGGTACGGGGAGCCATAGCCGTTCATGCCCGCGGGAGGAGCCCGACTGGCTCCGGGGCGGAGAAGGGCTCAGCGGGGGCGGGCGGAGGCCGGGGCGCTGGAGGACAGGAGGAGGGAAGCTCTGCCTGCGAGCTCCGCGGGGGGCGCGGCTCCGGCCCCAGGCCAGTGGGGATAGCCGCCGCCCGCCGTGGTGACACCGACGGGCAGAGCGCTGCCGCCGGCCCGAGAGACACTGCAGCTGCCCGCGCCGCCCCGCTGAGCCCAGAGACCCTCAGCCTGCCCCCGCCCCCGCCCGCCCCCACCGCCACCCTCCTTCCACGCCGCCGACGGGGGGATGGAGGGAGAGAAAAAGGGAGGGGGAGAGAGGGAGGGAGGGAAGCGGGGGGGGCCCTCTGCCGCGCCGTCGGGGTCGGCGGCGATGCCCATACTGTGCCGAAGGGGTTTGTCCCCGAGGGGGCCGGAAGTGTGGCTGATACCAACTACCCCTCCCGCCCGAAAGCCCCTGGGGCTGGGGGGAGACCGGGGTCTAGGAGGTTTCCCCAGGCTCCGTACCAGTCCCCCATCGAAAGCCCACGGGACACTGCGTTCGGCGGTCGATGTATGGTCGCTGCCGCTTGCGGCCCAGCGCTGCGGGGTAGGGGGGTGGGTCGAGATCAAAGTTTTACCAAACTTTCAGCCGCGAAGAGCTTCCCGGAGCAGGAGCTGCCCGGCACCAAGAGCTGCCCAGAGCAGCTGAGCGGAGTCGGGTTGCGGTCGCGTCCCCGCGGGATCGCGACGCGGAGCTGGGCGGCCGCAGGCGCACCTGCCCTTCGGGGGTCCCTGCGTCTCCTGCGTCCCGCGCCAAGATAGCTGCTTAAACGCAAACAATGGCCATAGAAAGGACCGCGAAATTCAGGGCAAATCAGGTTGCTCGAAACCTCTCCGATGTGTCTGATGGCGGCGGGCTTGTAGTCTTCAGTATTTCCGGACGCAGAGAGGTTTCTCGCTGAAACACGGATATTTCCCATGTGGTAGCGAGAACTTTGAATCCAAATATAATATAATGGTAAAAAAAAAAAAAAGGTATATTGGCTGGGGAAAAATAAATTTAATGCAAGCGTTTATCTGCCTGCGGCACAGCGTCTGCGGGCTGGCAGGAGCTGCTGCTTGGACCCGAACCCATTTCGTTGCCTCAGGATCTCCCCTGCTCTTCCAGGCACCTCTCCACTGTAACGGCAACACGAAATAACCCATTTAGCGAGGCTACGTAATTAGGAAATTAGATATAAAACTCGGGAACTATTTCGTTGGAGAGAATAAAAGGCACGGCGTATGTTATGAAGGTATTTGCGTGATGTTACATAGTAGTCTCTTTTCTTATCAATTTTCTACTTCTAGGGGAAGTGCGATTCAGATCAATCTTTCTCCCCACGGCCGTGTGCGGGGTGTGAGGAGGGTGAGCGCCCCATCGGTTTACAGAATCGAGGCAGGGAGGTGGATCGGAGCAAATGCGGGGAACAGTCGAACTTCCCGCAGCACCAGCGGGATCTACCTTTTTGTGCTGCACTGCACCCGGACATCCCTGAAGCTCGCAACTGGCCCCCCGCCCGGGGCCTCTTAAACACTCGTGGATCCCCGCCCAGGGCAGAAAAAGAAAGAAGCGGTGCCTCTGTGGACCCAAACACTCAACTATCACAAAATTTCAAGGGGCGCGTAAAAGATGATGCACACCCGCCCTTGGGAATCCGTTCCCTCAAAACGAAGAAGCGGGATGCAAATGCCGGAGAGGGGTAGAGGAAAACGTTCCTTCCCCACTAGTAGGAGAAGTCCTCCGGGGCGCCTCCGTCACCGCCGCCGGCCGGGGCGGCTGCCTGCTCACGGGCCGAGGTGCCCCGGCGCGGCGGTGGGCTGGTTGGGAGTCGGGGCCCCCTCTCGCTTGGCTACTCGCCGGGCGTTCAGGCTGAAATACCCGTTTGATATAGTGCTGTAATCCTTTTCTTATATTTGATGGAAATGGTTTCCATGTCTTAGTATTTGACAACATCTCCCCGTAGGGCCAGGTTCGTATTTATGTTAGCAAAACGTCCCCTGCCTACAAGTCCATTGTAACCCAACACCTGACAACCCCGGTTCCCATTTCTGCTCGACGAAAAGGTTTATTCAAGCACATAATGGGATCCCAG